CAAAAGTCACGATCGCGAGTATTAAATCTGTTCCATTTTCTGAATTTTATGGAGCGATTTATGCGATTTAACGAATTAACACTTTTTTAATCCAACGATACCCACCTGAGACTCTGTTATTTTAAGAGTCCATAGAACTTCTCAGAAGATTCCTCGGAAAGACCCCCAGAAGGAAATGAATGAAGAATTTGAACTTATAACTGTAACAATTTCACTTGCCGCCACGGCACGAAAACAACTGTCGAACTGCCACAGGCAAACCAGCTTTCAGTGCAGTCATGCAAAGCATGTCACGTCACGTAATTCTGCCCCGCGCATTTGGGAAGGAGGGAAGAAATTCTTCCATGCTGTGCGCTAAAACATTTCTGAAATAAAACTAACTTTGGACTGTATCTTTGTAACTAGTTAAAGAAAAGAATAACTTTTTCCCCGTTTTTGCTCGAGGGGCGCTGTGCACTTCTTTATTTTATCTGCTGTTAATAATTATTGTCTTTCAAGTTCAGAACGTGCATCTATAGTTAGCAATTGGTGTGTTCGAAGTACCGAATGCTATAGAAAGGATATCGAAGGGCACTAAAGCAGTGGCGGATCCAGGAAGATGGTCCGGGGGGTCCGGACAGTACTGACAGTCATGAAATCCTATCAATAAAATTCAGCCGTGAGTGAAATAGTGAAAATGACAAGAAGACAGAGGGGAAAAAATAATAACAGATCAGTCCACTGGGTTTAAAATTGTTTAGCCTGACATTTTATGTAAGCGAACGGGAATGACATATTTATTTGTTCTGGAGCGATGATTTTTTTAAAAAAGCACGTTTCATAGCAAAAATTTGCCAAAACTTTAACTGAGAGCCATTGCTAGATTCTATGGTATTTTTTCTCGTTCCTTTTTTTTCTCGTTCTGTTTTGTCACATGAACCGTGATGTCAGCTTTTTAAGTTAAGATGACCATCCTTAGGCTGTTATGGACATGTCTCATATTGTTTCAGTCGTGACAGATGAAACCTTATTACACTTGGGTAGAGTCCCCCCCCCCCCGGATGACAAGTCTGACTAGTCCACTAGTAACCCGCACTTTAAAGCCGCCTTAAACCTTAAAACATAATTTATTTATTTGTCTTTCGTACGGTCGTGCAGTTATAACTTCTGAACATTCGGAGGGAAAAATCAAAAGCACATAGAACAAATCACTGTACCAGTTTTAAAAGTGAGACAATATATTTGCCATACCATTTTAGCTAATCACTTTTTAAATGGAACGACAGGAGAGCTGCTCATAAAAAAAAAAAATGAATTTGCTGGTGTTTTGGTTTCCCGTACACTAGTTTTTCTGGTGGTGAACAAAACTCTCATCCCAAGTCCATGGACTACCCATATGGACAACCCCTAAAATGGACTACGCCACTGTGGTTTAGTGTCCTCCCTCTCTCTAGTCTCTAATCGTTTTTTTTTCCTCGTTAACTTTTCACCCGCGCTCTTCTATCTGAACGCCTGGAACAGCTTAATATTTTCTTCTCTAGATAAAAAAATGTGCCGTTTATACATTTTTAGAAAACCATAACTGTTTTGTGGAATTTAAGTAGAAGATTGCCAATATGTTCGCTTTTTATGAAGGGAAGTTACCTCAATTCTGTCACTGGACTTGCCGTCTTCGGCAGCTAATTTTTAATAGGCCCAGGCAGAAAATCGGAAGTCTTAAATAATTCACAAACTTGGTCGCATTTTGAAATTTAAACCTC